ATCTTCCTAATCTTTTTAAAAAGCTTTGGTTTAATCAGCACGTCTAGTCCTTTTTAGTCTTCCTGTGTGTTAGACTGGGAATTACAACAGACAGTTCTGTGAAAACTTTGTGGAGAAAATTCCAACAATTTTCCAATTATTTGCTTTTTTTTTTTCTTTTTTTTTTGCGTTTTGAACATTTGAAGCAACATAATCAGGAAAGGGAAATAGTGGAATAACTGCAAAAGAAAGCTAGGAGGAATCCTGCTTTAGGTTTGATTCAGCAAACATCTGGTTAAATGAAACCATTTTGTTATTATTTGTAGAAAGTCTCTAACTTGATGCTTAAAAGCGACTCTAAAACTTCTGCTAATTCAGAGTCCTTAGAAATACAAAGATCTTTAATTTGGCCCCTGAAGCTGTTTTAGCCAAAATCTTAAGCAGATGAACCTCAAGTTAATTTATTTTAAATCTATTTTAAATGTTTCAAAAGCCTATATGAGTAATTAAACCTTTTTTACATTTCCATCATCTTTCTGAACAACATCTGCTTAAAATGATTTAGCTGACTGTGAGGAATTCATACTAATGCTAAATATATACTTTACTATTTTAAATAATGATTAATAGGTTTAAAAGTAAGAGAGAGGTCTGAGTCACTGTGCAATCTGTCAATCAACATTCAAAACACAAACCAGACATTTACAAAGACAGGAAAGAGCAAAGCAGTGAAACATCTAAAAAAGCTCTAATTTGAGCATTATGTTATACAGTATGTTTTGAATATTTTAAACATTAGGTCATGAATAGACTTTGCTGGAGAGCAATTCTTTGTGTTTGCAGCAAATAAGATGGGTTTGATTCCATGCATGTTCAACACTTTTTCTTTCACGCTCAGAGCCTAATTAATGTGATAATGTGCCAAATGTTAATGACCTCCTCAGAGCTCTAAGTGTTAATGCATTTCAGTGAGACTTCCGCTTAATGCAGGAAGGTTTGTGATTCACTATTAAAATGTGAATGAGAGAATCCCAAATTAGACAAACAGGCTGCATAGAGACGCCTGTACTGTCGCTGCTGCTGTAATAGATGCTGTGATTGGTTGGTTACACTGGGAGCATAAACAAAGACTATTTTATGTATCAGAAAGAAACAGCAGAAAAGCCATATCTAAAACACAAGTAAGATATTATAGAGACAGAAACAAACAGGAAAACACAACAGTATTTATTTAGACATGTGGTGCAACTAAAAGCAAAGTCTTTAGCATAATGATAGTTCATATATAATATTTGCAGGTAATAGTGCAATTAAAATGCAAAGTGGTTTATTTTAGGGAGCATGAAGGAAGAGGTTTGAGAGACAATTTTTTTAATTACAATTTCACAAAATTCGTATTCGTACCCGAAATAAAACTTTACACTTGTTTTATATTTTTATTTAAGTAACTGTAGGTTTGCCCAACCCCATCCCAAACTCTAACTGCTCAACCTATTCTCATTATGAGTGCGTGTGAAATCGTACGAAAAGTTATGCACCGTAATTTCGTACGTTTTTGATGTTTTTTTCGTCGTATGCGCATCTGACGCACCATTCACGAATATAGAATATAAATTACAATTAGCCCTGACCCTGACCCTAAGATATAAAACAGCAAGCAGCGTAGTTAGAGACATGAATAAGTGATGATTGCACTGTTTTTCCCATTTTTACGTCCGTCCGCGGATCTGCTTTTTTTTTCTGTCTGCCAGCGCATGCGCACTGATGTGGTTTTTTGAGGAAAAACGTCCAAAAACGTACGAAACAGTGTGCATAACTTTTTGTACAATTTCACACGCACTCATAATGAGAATATGTTGAACTGCTGATATGTTCTTAACAAAGACCTTAAAGGTTAGATATTAAGCAAAATTCACATTATAAACATTCTGTAACAGTCATACATGTCCTGAAGGCAGAGATGAAATAAAAAAATCCCTTTCACCTCTATCATTTCCTTGTTGCACCTCTATTATAATATGTGCTCAAAATTGTCTGTTTGATAAGTATTCCCCTGATGATGTCATCAGGGGAAATAAGCTGTCCAGAACAGTCAAGCTACGGCCTTCATGTTAGGTATTATTGCGTCCTCCTAGGCTATCCTTGCAAACCCTGAGTGATTGTCGTGTTTGAAGGGGGAGGAGGCGTGGCGAGGGTGGGGGCGTGGAAAAACAAAACAGCTCATCCAGAGGAGGACTGCATTAGGGGTTTTTTGGTAAAGGCTGTCTGCCTAATCTGAGAGGATTTTTTTGCTGCACAAAAGGCAAAAACATACTCTGGGGGCCCCATTGTTCATATTTTTTATTTTCATAACAGGAGAGTTTTAGCTCAAACTCAGTTCACATCATAGGTCTAAACCAACATTCATCAGTTTGTCAGACTTAACCCCTTGAGGCCCAGTGTTGGAAATATGCAATGTCAGGTCTAAGCACCTAAAACATCATACATACATACAGGGAAAGAAAGAAGGCACAGAGACAATTAATTTAGTTTTACTCACGAGGAAAGTAGGAAGAGACTGCAGAGTTTACAAATCTCCAACCCACTCTGCCGGTCTTCAGCTTTCCCCTCGTTATTTATTGAAGTCAGGGGATGTCCCTAATTACACAAGCTGATGTTTAACTAAGGAAAAGGGAAACAAAATGATCTTACTTTAAACCTCAGCACATATGTTAAAACAAAGCATGTGGTTGTCTTACAATTGAATTGTTCCAAGAACACATGTTTAGAAGAAAC